GCCAGTGTGATAACCTTATGAAAGATTACTCAGTAATTGCGCCTCATTTCATTCAAAAATATATTGATCATCGTTATGACAATCCCTGGTGGACATAACATAATAAAATGCGGGACAAAACTATTATTTTTTTAGAGACAGTGTTCAACTTACTATCATATATTTATCGATACAATAAAAAGTACTTATAGGAGAAAAATCCATTCTTCTCAATAACTATAAAAAACTCTTTATTATGTACTAAAAGGGTACATAGGAATGACATTACAGGCAAAATGTAGAGTAGGGGAGTAATTGTCAATTTATTACTTTGTATACGCTTCGGAAATATCCACTATATTGTATAAATAACTATATTGTATTAGGAAATTGAATTTTGCGGAGTTGTAACCTATTAAAGTTCTGGAACATACTGTAGGTATGGTAGAAAGCGCGTCATTGCGAGGGCAATTAACAAACACTACCGCTGCTGACGTAATTGTCTCGCCCAACGGTAAAACAATTAACCAAATTGTGCTCTATCATATTTTTGCTTTTTCATTCATTCAAATTTTATGTTTAGAGTGATTAAATGGGTAACTAAGTATTGGAATTTTTCCTTTATTGTTTTTTAGGTAATAGATTGAAATTAAATTTGAAGCTCTAACACCTTTAATTCTTACAAAAAAAACTTTTTCACGAGCTTACAATGCTAGCAAAAAAGCTTTTGGAAGCTTTTATAATTCGAGTTGTTATAAGTTATAAATAGGTATGAAAGAGTTGGGTATCTAATGGTTTTATATTGAAGCATAAAGTTTGAATTCTTATGTAATGCAGATAAAAAATCTCTGCATCAAACCACAGTGCCAATTCATTTACGTAGACTATGATACAATGCAGAGATGGTGCTCCATCGCGTTGCAATGCGGCTCTACTTATTTTATACAAAACGTCTCGTTAGTAAAAAGTTTGATGCATAAAACAAAAATTTATCATTTTACACCTATACGTAGTACGTTTAAAATACTAAATCTGTTTGTATTTTTAATACACCACAATAAAATTTTGCATTTTTCAGTTGGAAAGTTAGGAAAAGTGGGCAAAAATTTTTCAGTTTAAAATTTATTATTATGATTATAAATATTGCATGACGTATACATATATAAATATTTAAACGCATTGAAATTGCTAATGGATACTAAAGGAATACAGTTATTGATTACATATTGATTCGACACAAACCATTGTGTCAATGAGTCCGCATTCGTAATACGTCTATAGATCCAATTGCAGTTTCTTTTTAATATAAATAAATCGATACCGAATATTGCACACACTTTTTACCTTTTTACCTACACTTTATACAATTTTACACGTACAATATAACAGTAAAACACCAGAGATCGTATTTAAACAAAAAGAAAAATGTGATGCGGCTTATATTCTCAAAGTAAAGGATGCAGAAGTCCACGGGATAAAAATGGAAAAGGACTTATTTTGTGATCCTTGCGGGAGAACTGGGCACAGGTGGGCGCAGTTCGTTAATGCTAAAACCACTTGGGAAAAGACTGAATACAAGACCTTTCACTCCATACCTTATTAGAAGCTTTAAATAGCTTATTGTGGAATCCAAGCTTCATTTATTAACACGCAACATTTCCTTGTACTTCTTTCATTTGAACATTTAACGTTCATTTTGAACTTTGACATCTATTCCCCAATTGGATGTAATTGGCAACGTCGTCACCATTTATGCTCCGACTTATTTTTATAACAGCGAAGTATTTTGGTTCATATTATAACTATGTTTTAGTTAATATGATCTCTGATTTTACCAAGAGGTATCAGGTTTTTCTGTGAGGGAAATCTTCAATAGATACCCGGCTTATGTAAGACTTGACGCAACCTCCTCGAGCGTGTCTCCTTACATAGAGTTTGGATCACCAAGACGGACCGTAAATCAGCACTAAATACGATACTGTAGATACAGGAGACCCCTTGTTGTGAACAGTAAGAGGCCTTCGTCTAGGTAATGTTCACGCTACGCTAAAAATATTACAAACTGCTATAGAATCTTATCGGATTTAAGTCTGTAAACATGATTCAAGGCCTCTTTGTAATTTCAATAATGACATAACGATACTGTACATCGTATTCTGATACCTATCGGTTTATATTCGTTCTGAATACATTAAACAACATTGTTTAGTTTTTACTTAAAATAACCCTTAGTGTAGATTTCAAAACTTAAAGATTCTGTGTAAAGTTATTCGTACCCTAAGTCATTAGGAGTAAACAAATTTTCTCGAACTTTTTCACAGTTCACATCTTTCAAGTAATGTTACAACAGTTAAAGTAAATTGAAACACGAGTCGTTGAAGGAATATTTCATGAACTTTAGTATTTATAATCTATATCGAGGTATAAAAGGATGGGACGTAGGCGTGACACAATTACGAGGGGTCGAAGGCGCCCGACTGTCTGCCGACAGATTATTACAGCTGCCGTCGAGAATCCGGCTCCGAGAAATAGGTTAACGTTAAATAGACCCTTATTAGCATACTTATAAAAATAAAATTAGATTTTAATCTTTATATAGAAATATTTCATAATATAATAATACACACAAAAAGATAATTATATAAAGATTGGATAAATAATGATATAATCGAAATGTAACTTTCTATAAAAATAGCAAAAACCTTAACCAGAAGATCGACTATTTAATTTTTTTGTTAAAATCCAATTTTGATTGCTTATATTTTAATTTATCAATACAACTCTGTGAGTTGTACGGCTATTCATTTGTCTTATTCACGAAGCAAAAAAAAAGAACTACAAAAAACTCTAATAAGAGAAGCTCTTACGCGGCTACATTCAGTGAAATTCCTCATCCAACTGTCGGTTCATTCTTCACAATATAGCGCCCTACATTAGCTACACTGCTTTCGCAACAATTTCACTTCCAACTCAACATTAAAAAATAAATGTATATCACTATTTTTAATAGGTAAATGCACGTAAGTAAATCATTCCAACACTCATCAAGTTTTTCTATGGACTAAGAATGTGGTGTAGGGAGAGGGCGCTAATTGAAGAGCTTGGGAGAGCGAAGTAAATATAGTGAGGCCCCCCGCAGCGCTTTATGGTTTATCCTAGCATTCTGTCGGGAGAATTTTGATAAGCGCGGCAGCGAGTAAACCATTGTTTTTTTTATAAATGACCTTTTCGAATGATATATATCTAAAAGTGAATAACATACCCCTAATAATTTTAAATTTAAAAAATATTATGTCTTAATTATAATAAACAAGCTTTTGCTCGCGACTTCGTCCGCGCGGAATTTAAAAAAAGTTGTTAAGTAGCTTTTCCTCTAGACAGTGTTCTAATTCTATACCAAAATTCATCAAGATCCATGCAGTAATTTCTGAAGCTAACTTCTAACAAACATCCATCCATACATTCACATTTTTAATAATAATAAAAATATAATAATGGTAAGAAATAGGATATAAGTAAGAGTATAAAGTTTCAGCACTATCAACCATTTATAGACAAATTCTTTGTATGAATTATTATTTCAGACAGGATATGATCTAGATTATCTTAATGCAAAAAGATGTATCACTAAGCAGCATAAGATAAGTGATATGACTTTGGATATTATATTAAGAGTATAATAAGTAGTAACATATTTCTGCAAGTATCCACCATCTACATACAGAAACATCATCTTCATTATTTTAGGATAAGGAGGAAAATAGGCAGCAAATCACCAATATGTTTTAGTGTGTTTTACAACAGAGACATGTAGTAAAGCTTCCGTTTACAACTAGAATATAAATAAATAAAATCATAAATTCATAATACAAAGGAAATAAAAATATAGTAGAATGAATCACAAGAGATAACCTGCAATTATCATTTATTTACTTTGCTAATGATAAAATTGTTATCAACTATCAGGTCCATATTTATAGACAACAAAATGTCATCGACCATGACTAAATTAATGAATATTTCATTGAACTTACAGGAAGGATTATTTTGATTAAGTACATGATAAAACAGAAGAAAACACTCAATAAAAATTGTTTAAAACATATTAGTTATGATGACATAAATGTATTATAAACAATACTGGCTAGAAAAGCTATTTTTAGTACCAATAAAAGTAAAATAATATTTCAAGCCAACTTTAAAGCCAACATTTTAAATGAATATAAAAACAAATCACTGCTATACTGAAAGGTGGGTTTTGTTCAGTTATGTTGATACAATAATTCCATGACCTTTAATTCTATGGTAATCTATTTTAAACTTAAATACTTAATTAAGTCTATTTAAAATACAAGAAGTGATAGCTTGCAAAAAAATATTCATTTGAACAGTATTGTTATCAATTTAATAACAAATTGATGTAGTAGGTACTGGCGGAAAATAATTGTGATAAGCCAGTTATACAGTAATGATTCCATGTCTGGCAAACCAGAGCTCTTTTATTCTGCTAAAATTTATCAAAACTTTTGATAAGAGACAATACTATATACATAATATTTCCGGTCTTTTTAACGAGAACATTACCATAGGCAGAGTAGCTTTTGTTGCAAATGCGAATATATACACATGAAATTACAGTGCTATACCAACGGCTATATGTTATAATGATTAATACTTCATAATTTATACTGATTCTTGGCATGGTTATTTTTTATCAGTGTCTATACCAGATCTATATTTATTAAGAATATGTTTAACAATAGAATATCTCATTGGACCAAGTGTTTATTTTTATATAAATTTAAGTGTAGATTAGATTTCTATTACATATTAATAATCAATAATTTATTAACCTTTTTATACCAATTGCAATATATTTTTTTTTAATAATTTTATCAAGAATATTCAGAATACATGAAATACCCAACATAGTTTTGGATAATTAAATTACATATCTCGGTTCAAGTAAAATGCATTATTGAAGGAGTAAACGGGAAATCAACTTTTTAATTTAAACTTACCTTTTCACAAGATCTGCTGAATGAAATATTTAATCTTGCTCACAGAAATAACAAACTTTGAATTACTTTTCAATAGTCAGAGATATCAAGAGATTTTAAATTCTTGAAATAATTTAATCAATACACAAAAACAAGTCAATTTCAATCTCCGGTTGGCGTTTGGCACTTTGGCACATTTGGCATTATGTCTTGTGTGCGAAGAACAGATAACAAATGCATTGCACAGAGTAAGTAAAAAGAGAAAACTACTTAATTCAACCTAATTTAGGTTGGTTACTTGAATATAACTTAAATAAACTTGACCGGAAAAAATGAAAAAAAATTCTGTTGGTCAAATAAGTATTTTCTACGTTGTGCGTGTTCTTAATTCACTGTTAAATCTTTAAATTTCATTATAAAGTTAAAATAGGTAACTTTTGGAACGAATCCAAAACGCGGCACCAAAAATAAGCTGAAAACTTAAAAAAGTTATACATGTTTTTAATTTTCCTGAAGATTAGTTTTAATTATAATTTCATTATAAAAAATCTAGACTGGAACTGGAATCAGGTATGGCAAAGTAGAAAAGCAGTATTATCCATCTCTTTCTTGCAGTAATACGTCATTCTCTCACGTTCAATGTGTGGTGTCATAGTGAAATATTCGTGATATTAGTTCTTACTGACAAATCACAAAAGTATTTTAAAATGCTGGAAATTTTCTGTTTTAGTTATGTGTTTTTTCATTAAAAAAATGTTAGTGTTGTGCTGTTCATTAGAAGAAGTATAGCAAAGAAACTTATAAATCCTCACAATGAACTGTCACCAAGTATTAAGTGGTGCCTGTAATTCAGGAGATCAATGTTTTGCTGTTGGTTCAGTTGAAGGAATACCTTTTACCGTGAGTGTATTTATCAACTAGTCAGCTTGTATTTACAGACGGGTCTCGTGACCAAGGATGTTGGCCGCAATAAAGTGGTAATTGAGATGTAATGGTCCTAACAGGAAAATCTAATTTAGCTCAGTTTGATAAGAGTTAAACAATATTATTTTCAATTCATAATGTTTACGCCTTATGATTATATTCATAACGATTGAAAGGGACTCTATGAAAAGAGAAACTTACTTGAATAGCAGTTTGCATAATTTAAATATTTTAATAACAAATAATTGCTAAAGAGCATTTATTAATTGTCTGTTTTGTTGATAAATACTAGAACTTCTATCACTATTAATTGAATCCAATGTAGCTGATCTTTTATTGGACTTATTTGTGTGTAAGTGGTTAAGAAATCCAACTAATTTCAGTTCTCATTAAAACATAAATTATAATGTGAAGAAAGAGAGATATTTTTGAAAATGTGATTATTATATAATATTAGCTGTCACCCACAATTCGGCCCGGAATTTAAAAAAAAACTATATAAGTAGCCTAAGTGCCCTTCCAGATCATGTTCTACGTCTATGCCAAAATTTAGGCGAATAAATTTACTTATTCTGTAGACATATAATAACTAATATCTATCTGTCAATTTAAATTTCAACATTTATAATATTATATAAGATTTTTATTATTTTCTTGGTTGACATGATTTGCTGTTTTAAAAAGGAAACTAATTATTTGCTTTTAAACATTAAAAATACTTATTTTACTGTGCATAAAATACTTGAATTTCATATTCATTTGTTACAGGCATATGCTGCAGGATGTAACATAGTAATACTAGCATCAAACTTTGAAAGAGTACAGATTATTCCTGGTGCCATACATGGATACATACGCATTAGTTCCTTAGACTGTAGTACTGATACAGGAAAAATTGCTGCTGCATACGGTGCAGAGGTGTGCATCTTTGAACCTACACCACTAATACATACTGCAGGAACAACACATGTAAGTAATTTTATTTTATTTATGAAACAAATCAGATATACTTATGGTCTGAATGAATGAGCGGTGTTGTGAAAATGTTCAAGGTGGATGGTTATAATTGGTATTTGTGATTAACACTATAATAATTTTTTAGACATTTATCATGTATGTAATTCATATTACAATAGCAATTGAGTCAATATTTTGAATTATTTTTTGGCTTTTATGACATTTTTTGTGATAATATACGGCAAACTCTAGTTTATGTTGTCAAAGTTGAACATTGCTTTGTTATCTGTTTGTGTTAACAAATCCTAAAATATAGCTTACTAATGAAAAACATATAATTTTAATTTGGTCATATAGATATTTATTACGGTTGACATTTTAAATGAATCTAATACTATGGCCAAATTTTTGCTTCTCTCAATTTTTATAACAAAATATTTTGTATGACATACACGTGCCTGATTAGATAAAAGATGTGTTATCAGTGTACATATGTATGTCCTACTCACACTCTCATATCTCTCTCTAATATTGAACTTGCTATAATTAGATTAAACATACCATATCTTCATATTAATAACATTGATTAATAGCAATTGCGTTAGTGAAAAAAAAGGACTAACCATTGGTTTCTGAGACCAAAAAATCTCTATAAAGCATATTGTCATAGACAAAACATAGATATGAATCTGTTTAAACGGGGATTTCGGTCTCGGAAACTCACGGTAATTGGTTTAGAATAAAACCTTTGATATCCTAAACAGTTAGTTTAGGTCAGGTAACCTGCATTGGTCACGAATTTTCGTATTATATCTAAAAGCCGTGCAATGAGTGAAAATCTTCACAGTTTGTATCTTAATCTTGGTAAGAAATGAATAAAGGTTTTAAAGATTATGAAAAATGTCGTAAGATAACGTCTAAAACACAAGTGATTGTGAATTACAAAAGATAAAAATGTTTTCAAGTCAAAGAGTTGAGTTGAAATTACGACAATTGAGTGGAAAGTAGTAGAGCAAATTTTACGAAAAACATGAAAACGAACACGAAACAGATCACAAATTTTATATGTTAAAGTTTTCGATAAGAATTCCGCGTTGTTTTTTGTTATAAACGTAGCCTTAGTCATTTAACCTATATCTTAGTACTTGGATTTGATTTCGCACGTCGAAAACCAGAGCACTCTTCTGCCTGACGTGACATCTTAAGCTTCGAGCATCATATATCATCATATACCTTTTAGGATTCGCAACACAAAAGCCGTGATAAAGGTTAAGTACGCAGTGTCGAGCGGGCGTAGAAGAATGCTTTGTTTTCTTTTCCTTTCTTCTGGTTTTAGAAGTTACCCTGTCTCTCGAGGACAAGACAAAACAATATCTAGACAAACATTCACTTTTTCAACTCTATACACACATATCGTTAGTAACTAATAAGTAACACGTTGAATATTAGCAAAGTTTTTATCTACGTAAGTAGACTTGTGAGTCAGTGAACGTGTTAACTTGCAAAGTTAAATAATAGAATACCTTAATGTAAATAATGTGTTCAATACCAATATTTGGTTGGAAAAAAAATCTCTAAAATATATGTAAGCATGTAACATCCTAATGGAGTTAAGTTTGTTTATTTAAAAAACATATTTTTTTGTGTGCAAATCGTGTCGACCTTTGTTTGTATCAACTATGATAGTATATCTGATAGGTAATTTATCCATTCCTCTTGTATAATCACATAATCTACGGTCGTTATCATGGAGTGTAAAGAATTCGTTAAATAATCGTCATTCGTTGCCCGTCGAATGTGTCTAATGTCATAGTTTTGTGAATGTCATAGTAATTATAGTCTGTGAATATTTCACTCGAGTATAATTGCTGGTGATTCATTCATTTGTATTTCAGCTCTCGAGTAGGAAATAATACGCAGACATTTCAAGTTGATGGAAAATATATTTGTTTACGCATCATGTTAGCGCATTTATGCGGAAATTGCGTTCATTTTTAAACACAATCAGTGTTATTATGTAAATATAAGCTCTCGTATCCTTGTCGCCATATAACGCAGTTTAATATGTAGAAGATATAGATTAAACTACATCAATCATTTTTACAAAGTATTAACTGGTACTCAAAGTGCCAAATCAAACCAAATACTAGAATCTGTTCTATACAACCAATGCTTCTTTTATGTTTGAAGCTCAAGAAAGCAATCTAGTCAGATTTAGTGACAGGCTCTTTTTAAACTGATCTCTCGTAATCGAGATTCGTGATTTATGTAGTATTATGCTAATTGTGAACTTCGTCTTATGTATAAATTCTCGTCTCATAATGTTAGTTAACATACTCCTCCGAAACGGCTTTACAGATTTTTATGAAATTTTATATAAATTCAGTAGTTCTGAGAATCGACCACTATCTATTTTGAATCCCACATGGATGGAATCGCGGGCGACAGTTAGTATTCAATAAAATATTTTTTATGCATCAATTTTATAAGCATAGGTCATTGAACTTTAGGGAATGCTATTATTTCTACAGCGTATTTAGTTCTGTTTACATCAAACAATCTGTTACATGTTTCGTATGTTTATTATAAAAATAAATAACACTGTATAATTCTTTTCGCAAAAGAAACTATTAAACTTTCTCCTTAGTCATTAAAATGTATAATATCGTTAAATTTTTATTAACACTTCACTTGCGTAAATGTGAAATCATTATTTTTAGCAAAAATTAAAAAATAAAAAGTTTTTCGGCACAAGGATATATCAATAGTTACATAACATCTAATTTATCTAATCTTATTATTCATTTCCACGTTTTTTTTTACTTTTATATATATCACAAAACTGAACGAATAATTTTCGCATTAGATATGTTATCTAATCGTCTAACGACCATCGCTCATTTGTTATCCGAAATCTCGCTAAACTAGAATATCTCCGGTCATCTATGATTAGATCTTGTCATATTAAGATTCAAATCATTTAATTCCACTTATAAACAACCGTGGGCTTCTACTGACGAAAAATACGTGCAAAACGTATGTTTTTGGCGCCAATTAAAGTTTTTATGTATGCGGATTTGATTTCATTGTGACTCCTGTAGCATAATGACTAAACGCCATGACCGAATTTTGACATGTGAGGCGTTTTCAATTCATGTTCTTCCTTAAGATGAGTTTTTTATTGTACGAATCTAAGGTTTGTGACACCTTTTCTTGTAGTCTTATGCATTTTGATTCGTTCATTGAAAATATTTATGTTAAAAATTCTCTGTGGTCAATAAATTCAGTCTATTTTGATACTTATCGTTGAATAAATTGTATAGATTAAGTGGGTTGCGAGTTGGTTTATTTTCACCGATTCCACGTCACTGAAGTCTGGTTACCGAATGGTATATTATTTCCTCATTTTATGTTGTACTCGAATGCGTGATTTGTGTATAATTACGCTGTGTTTTATTTCGCGGATACAATTAGACCGGCTGCTGTCAACTGGATTTACATTTATGTTTCGCATCCAGATGTTTCTAATGTTCTGTTCCTGGTATAAATCAGTTCTTCATAAAAATTACATTCCTTACTAATGAGTTTTTTTGTTACGGAATGCGCAAACCAAATTACTAACGTAATAGTTAGGCGACGATAGTTTTAACGTTAAAATATTTTGGTAATTTTTTCCAATTGATTAATACCTTTGGTAAGATTTTTTTATCTTATAATTAAGTCTTAGATTACGAGAAATTACAACATTCCATACGTTATCAAAGAAAAACGGATAATCTGTAACAGCAAAGCGATGTAACACAACTTTCTGAACCTAACTTATGGCAAGGATATCGTTGTAGAAGACCAGGAGACAGATTGAAGTGTTGCCAAGTTTTACCGCCGCCGCCTGGCTAGACTTTGCGACGCCTAACTTAAATATACGTATTTAATCACTAAGGATATGTACGGATATTCTCAGTATTCTTTTAGTATTTAACAGACTTAATTAAAAAAAAATGTTTCTTGAATTTTGAGGACATTAGTTTTATATGTTGTGTGGTTACTAGTATTTTAGTTCTTGCATAAACATTTTAATTTGTCAGTCAGATTTGTTCTTTAAAAAAATATAATTTATCAATGCATGAATAAGTTTTCAATTTGAAGATTTGCTTTCAATTGACAGACTCGGATCAGAATCATTACGATCGAGTACATTTGGAGGTATAAATAGTTGTGAAGGCTGATGTCGGAGCGAATTGGTTCAACCGTAATGATTTGAAATAATTATATTTAAAACAAAGGCGAAGATATAATAAATTTATTGTCATAAGTGGTTTTATAGGAGCTATTTTTGTACCATTATGGCGTTGAAATTAATTTCAATATTGATAATTGGTTTTGTAAATAAACGTTTTCAATCATAAAGAAGACTGCTTTTTATTTCGTTGTTTATTTGGTATCTATATATGCCGGGTTTGTTCAAGACTTTTATATGGTAGAAGTATCCTTATTAAAGTTTTTGCGTGGAATACAAATTGAATTATGATTCATATAACCAACAAAACTTACAAACAACTTGTACGACTCATGAACAACAACTCAACAGGTTCATGATAAATACAAAGTTATCTTTACTATATATATATATAAATTTAATTTTTATTTACGTGTATTAAAACTAATTGTTGTCTCTTTCTTTTATACGAGAAAAAGTGGGATGACTATGTTTTTATATAACTTTTTCTACTGTAGATTCACACAGTTATTAATATTTTTATCGATATGATGCATTCGAAAACTCCTTATAAGTCAAGGTCCTTCATCTGAATGTAGATACTTTTAGACATTATTAGTTAGAATTCTTTGGCGCGAATGGTGGGCTTTCATTACAAATACAAGTGTCAGAATGATTAGTTAGGGGACATAAACGTCGATATTTTAGCAAGGCTAGTGTTGCGCCAGAACACCGGCATAGTGTCGGATTTTCTTCCTAACAATACTTATTATATATTAACAATAATCTTATGAGAAGTTAGGGTCGATGAATTTCTTTTTTAAGACACTCGAGGAACTGGTACCGCACTGGGCCAGCGTGTTTGAGTATAGCCTAGTCACCCCTAACTTAGGGTAGGCTCCGAGCCCCTCAGTGGGGACGTATAGTGAGCTGATGACGTGTAACTGGTAATCCGTAATAAGAAACGGGTATGCAGATGTTACGATTTAGTGCTTAATTCCATTTATACTTTGTATAAACTCTAACGTTTTATTTTTGTACTCTGAGATTCATAACCAAGTTCTTTATAATCTGTGTTATAAGTACTGATTTGAATACTGGCTTATCTTATAACTTTTTGTTCTTTATCTTGATAAACAAATGTTTCGAAGTGTTGAAATCCTCGATCTGAGATTCTGTCAGCTTCATCGTTGTTGACAATATAAATTTATATCGCTTATTATTTATATGAAAGAGTTTCATTAGGCTTGCGATTACGTCGTTAACATTGTCGCATTGCAGCCTTTGCGGCTTGTTTTATTTCTGTTGTAATGACTTAACTCTATAACATATAAGAGGTTATAATATGCAATGTGGTATTTATATAACTTATTTCAAGTATGATATACACGCGAACAAGCAAGAGTCTCGCCAATGAAGTTCTGCTTTAAATGCACAAATATCATAGTGATTACAAATGAATGTCTTAATTTTTGTTCCATAAGTAGTTAGAAATCGATTTTCAGAGCATTTTACTACATTCTTGGTCATAAAAGAGGAGTAGGACTTTTACGGGATTTTCTCTTTCTCCTGTGATATTTGCAAGAAATATGCGTTTTTGAGGTGTCGTTTTATTTTACTAGTCTCCAATACTACAATACTTGTTGCAGGGTCTAGAATACAGATGGGTGCAGACCGGCAAGTTGGTGGCAGACGGGCCGATCACCGCGTTGTCCTGGAACCTGGAGGGCACGCGGCTCCTCACCGGCGGCAAAGTCTTACAGCTGTGGCATCAGGCGTCTTTGTACCAGGATGACAGCCAACGTAAGAAATAGTGGTTATATAATTTTGAATATTCTACAGTTTCTAATAGAACACGCAGTTTTATTTAGATGTTTTGGTATTTATGTGACGTGTAAAGTCGTAGGTTGATACGCACCAATCTTGAAGCAGAACCTTAGAAGTAACAATTTGTCTCTGTTTTATTTAAAAAAATATGGACAGTGTTAAATGCGCTAAATTTATTTTAAGATGAAATATGGTCACGATAAAACTTTGTCGTAATCCGCTGGAAGACGATGTGATAGTTTTTGCGGCCGTTCAGTGCAGTACGTTCTGGAACGTACTGGCATTTTGCCTGCTTTCATCGATTTTGTCTAATAACAGTTGAAAGTTGCGAAGTTACGTCTAGGAAGTTGACCTCGAAAGAAAATTTAATATTTCTATAGATTAAATTTCAATCTAATATGATGTTAATTTCTTTTTTTTCCCAATCTAATCTTTGAATGTTTCTCCTGTAGATTAAAAATATAATAAAAAATCTTCCGTCCAAATTTAAATCTTGAAAAAATTTAAATACTTACGATTTTTGTAATTTATTTATTTTTCTAATCGTATATATAATAACTTGTTATAAAAGAATTCGATGTGATTCACATAGCGCGTATAATTGATCACTTTGTACTTTAGCTGACAATAATAGATTAATCGCCTTAGGTTTCATTGCTTTAGTTTTATATGAATTGAGTAGAAACATGAGAATAAATAGCGGTTACTACATTACATAAATATGTACATAGATTTATGTTTGCCTGGTGGAGACGGCAAAGATAAAAATATAAACGTAGTTGTCTGACCTAATTATTTTGTGGTCCAACGTGATATTCTGTCATTAAAATATGAGATTTTTTTTAAAGAAAATACTTTGTAGGCAGAATTTTCTTTCCAATTCAAACGGAATATAAAACGTAAGGTTATCAATTGGTTTCTGGTTATTTCTTTTTACAGCCAGTTCCGGTGTCACATTCCAAATCGGCGGAGATAAGGAGGACAAACCCAAGCAGCCGGAGGAAGATGAGCCTGTGAGTACAGTTAGACGGCATCTCTAACATATAATAGATAAGATAAACCGATATGTTTGCTAGATGCAGTATAATTTCTCTGATATCGCTGTTTATCGAGATTAGTGGAATAATCCTTTCACGAGAAACACTTTACAAAAACACTACTTCCTTTATTTTGTTTTACAAAGTTGATTAGAAATAATTTTCCAATAAAACGGTTACAAGGGTTTATGACCTTAATCTTACTAATATTATAAATGCGAATGTTTCGGTGGATGAATGTTTGTTTGAAGATATCTATAACTGCTAAACGGAGTTAGATGAAATTTGTTATACATATAGAAGATAGTCTGAAAGAACACATAGGCCACTAATTAAGTTTTTTTTCATAACTAATCTATAATATTATTTCTGTTAGGGATGGATTTGTGTATGGCAGTGCCACACGGCGACGCCCGCGCACCACCTCGCTTTCTCCCCAGACGGCGTGCTCTTCGCAACGTCCGGCATGAACGATAGGCTTGTTAAGATTTGGCATCAAAACAAAGGTATAATTGTCACCAAAGTCCTGTGTGGAATTTCTTCTAGATGATCAATTCTCTTGTGTTATTTATATGTACAATCTCTGTGTGGTTTCAGTTCTGGTACAGGCGCACGGCGAGCATTCGGGAACTGAACTAAACTATACGTTCATCTATGTGGCACACCCGCGCGCTGTCACGCATTTGTCATGGCGGAAGACCAGCAAATATATGCCCAAGTATGTTTCTTTGTCCCATTGCGAGGAGTTAGAGAAATTGCCGCACTCAGATTTAGATAATGGTCGCTTATCCGTACCCACAGAGCCTTAGTGTTTATGTAAAAGAAAGTCGTGTTAGTTACACTATTTATAACGCAAGAATGGCAGAAAATTTGTGGGTGGCAGCTTAGAACCAGGGTGACGGTCCTAGGATTTTTATCTAGTTTCCGTGGGATGCAACATACAAAGTTCGTACGGAGGTACTCGCGGGAAAAAGCTAGTATTTCACTAATGGCTAATGACGTCCACCGCTGAAAGTATTTTCATGCATTTTTCCTCTGTGAAATTGTTTTTATTTACAGCTTGTGTGTTTGTGAATATAAAGGTGTTGTTGTGCGTGATGCAGGGGCAGTGTGGGCAACGTGCTGGTGACGTCATGCGTGGACAACATCTGCCGCGTGTGGGCGGAGACTCTGCTGCCGGAGGACGAGTGGGGCGGGGGCTCCGCGGCCTCGCGCTCGCCGCCGCGCCGCCAGCGCGCCACGCACCGACACAAGCACCGCTTTATGCAACGACTCAAGCACATGAAGTAAATATAAGATCCTATTATCTTGTTTGTTTGTTGGATACATTCTCTGTATTAGAGAATTTGTGTATATGTACCAAATCAACACTTAAACATTGGAAGAACCCTCAACCATTACGCTAAGCTTGGTAAATATCTAATTTCCAAATCAACTTTGTAAGTATTTTTACAATTTGACACCAATTTAATAAGTGACATGTCCTTTACAATACTATTTATTTAAGCGCTTGATTACGGGATAAATTCCGAATTGTCAAAATACATTCAGTTTATTAAGTTATTGTATGTTTCAGAACGTGCTTCCACATCCGTCGGAACGCGCAGTCATCGAAGCAGCCGGGCGCGCCCATCCCCACGCTGCCCTCCACATACAGCGCCCACGACTTTCACAACTCCTTCCAAGCCAGCTCTTACACAGGCGGTGAGTGCATACTGCCACTCGGAGACCTTCACTTATCACCAAGGAAAGATTTAACTGAACATTTCACACTAAGGAAATCCTTTTTTTTTTTTTCAATTTCAATTCAAAATTAATTTAAAACATATTATGACCTGGATGATAACACGTTTTAAACGGAGATTTTGGTCTCAGACACCTATGGTTATTGCGCAAGTAAATTTTTCTGAGCTAAACATCTCTTTAAATTTCGTACGAGAAAATTGTATCTATATAACATATAATGAAGACGCCGTCTTCATTAAAATTGTTCTCGAGGACGGAAAAAAACTCCATTCTAGATTTCCTGAAGCACTACGTTTTGCTATAAGTTATTTCTTATCCCGTTTGGTTTTAGGCGACGAGTCTAAACTTCAATATATGTTTAGGTCTTCACTTCCATTTGGCGGCGTCTATAAACGCGGAGACTGACATCCCGCTGGTGCCCTCGCTGGCGGGCGGCGGACGGTTCATCCTGCACTGGCTGCACAACAAGGAGATGCACTTCACCAGCCAAGCTGAGGCTATACTACATGATCTCACTAAAAAAGTTATTATAAATTTAATTTATTTTTATTTTAATTCAGTAAGAAAAGCACACTAGTCATCTTTGATTTGATTTACGAATACAGTTATTAGATTTTTATATAAAATTGCAGTGTCTGTATGTAATATTGAAGAAAAAAAAATCGTAATCGTGTTTGTTTTTGCGTTGCTGATAATAATAAAGTAATTAAATAAAAATTGTCTGTATATCTGTCCGCTAAGAAGTATTTATTACGGCAATAATTTTTCACAGGTTTTAGATAAAGAAGAAAACGAGGAAGGTATGGATCACAACACACATCCGGACGGAGAGAATGAATCAAGTATGTTATATATATTAGCAATTTTATATAATAAATTCATTAAAATATTCCAACATATAACTGTATTTAACATAACCAAGTATTATATTAATAGCTGCTTAAAGCAGTAGGTTAGAATAAGCTGTTATAGCTGCGTTATATAACGCTTTATTGCTATTTCATGCTGCTATTTAGGAACTAGGCGGTCAAGTCAACATTTGACTAGAGTACAATCTGAGGACACTAGCAATAGTGATGAACAACCAGGTAAGGTACATTTAGCATTGTCACATAAAATAACATATTGATAACACCAAAAATAAATATAAAGACAATAATTTTAATTTATTTAAACAAAACATTGCCTATCATCATCATCATCATCAGCTAACTATACGTCCCCACCGAGGGCCTAAGAGCCTACCCTAAGTTAGGGGTGACTAGGCCATAGTCAACCACGCTGGCCAAGTACGAGTTGGTTGACTTTACACATATCTTTGAATTTCTTCATTATCACTTCTTCTCTTAAGCATCACGATGTTTTCCTTCACCGTAAGAACTTCGGATAAATGTGCATATATAAAATCGGAAATCGAAAAACACATTGATACATGGCTTGATTCGAATCCAGGACCTGCAGATTGCAAGTCAAGCGCTTGACCCCTGAGCAACCGACGCTTTGACTCGTTAGCTCAGTATGTTAGAGCGCCGATATATATTCTAAACATTGCCTATAATGCTTAGGAAGTTGCAATGATTATTATTTGTCCTTGCTTTATAATTATATCTATAGATATTTTCTTTGATGCTTAGAGTAGACAGTTATCTAACATTAAAAACAATGTATGGTTCGTATAAACAAAATTGATGAAACGTTAGATTTAAAACATTCAGTGCCAGTGACTAGCCTGTCGAGTTTACTTACATACGGTAAAGACGTTGCCAGAGTGCCTTTCCACTCTTTTCTTATAAGGAAAGCATGGAAAGTAAGTGGATTTAACGGAGGAGGGGACGCATAGGAAAGAGAAAAATTCTTTTCCGTGCGTCTCCTCGTCGATTAAAAGATGGAAACACATCTGCAATTGCGGATGACCACGAGTATACGCTTCGCCATTTTGGCGAATTCATTTGTCACCTTATAAAGTGTAAAAAAGTGTATGTGAGGTGTTAATCTTGTATATTACCTTTAGGTAGCGGCAACCACAGTCACCCGAGTCTGTCCAATACTACGTCCATCAACTCGATAGCTACGGATGTGACGTGCACGCATTTACCTGACTCTCTCGACGCCAAGATAGAAGGGCTGCTTCGCGATTGGCATCAGAGTCCAGATCTACTCTTCTCAATACATCCTGTGGATGGCAGCTTTCTTATATGGTAAGTATATTTAACATTTGCAAAGATAAAAAATACTATTTTACTGTTTTACATTTTGTTGACTGAATCAAAGAACAGTGAACGAATTACATTCGTTTATCATTTGTCACTTTTTCATATTTAACTCGGGTCGGGATCAACCGGCGCAAACTGCTTTAAATTACTTGAAATCGAGAGCTCCGACGCTAGTTAGTAGTTAACACTCTCATATCTTTTAGCAAACTATCACGGTACGACTTTAAGTTTGTCACATATTTATGATGCTTTGAATTTTTGTACCTAACAAAATGTGTAGGAAATTAACGTCCTCGACTGTAACTATAATTTGGTGTCGTGTGTCAGGGTGTGCGAGTGGCTGGACGAGGTGCAGGCGGGTGCTATCCGTCAGGCGCAGGTGTCGTTCTCTGCGCGCATCCCCAGCGCCTTCCCGCTCGGGGACGCGACCACCATGTGCACGCCCGCCGCTCTGTACCACGCCGCCGCGCAGCCGCTCCACGTGCGACACCGCACCAAGCCTGTAGCACCAAGTATGATACTGATTCACTGACATACATGGATAGGCTATTAGCCGTGTTATTTTGTGACTATTTCATTTTCGCCATTTTGGCGCTGATGGTTGGGTTTGTTGTCAGTGGTGAAGAATTGAACTAATAATAAAGATAGAATTAACTTGTCAGTTTCAAGTGGCTTCTATATTATTGTATTTGTAATACATGTTTGGATTACATTTCTGTTACAGATCAAAACCAACCGGAAACTGTGACGACTCCATTAGCCAGTGTACAGGAAGAGAAAGATGAGAATGAGTGGCCTCAGCCAGATGAACACAAAGAACCCCAAGAAAATGGTACAATAAGTTTGATAATGATGATTGAAATATCTATAAAGATTGGTTTCTTTGCATACAAAAATTTTAATTTTATGTTTATATCTGATAAAGGTCATCAAGAGGAGAATAACAATGAAATGCAGCGAAGGACTAGTGTCGTGGCAGACGATTTGGGAGAAAATCAAGATGGCGATGTATTGGAGTCCGCTCCGGTCATATCTATGGTCACCAACCATACCAACGGAACTCTCAACCTTTGGCAGTTAACATTCGACGACAAATCAAAGTTTTCACAGGTAATTGTCAAAAAAACATTTAGCTAATATTTCTGGGCTTAGCATTATAAAAAAAAACAATTTTTCTTGTATTTCTAGGTGCTATCAATAGGCCACGCTTCAAGAGCGTCTGGCCATAGGTTTAGGGTGAACGACATCACTTGCCATCCAGTATTACCACTATTGTTGACAACCAGTCATCATAATATTTCCGGTAAGTTTTTGTGCTAAAAAAACTTCATTTGTTCTAGGATAAGGTTTAATTTGTTTTATTTTGTAATATTATGTATAGACGCGGAGCGCGGGACGCAGCGTGTTGAGGAGGCGGGTGCGGCGGGCGGACTGTGTTCGGAACTGATCATGTGGCGCGTTGAGTGCGTCGGCCCGCTTGCCAAGTCGGGGGGCGTGGCCGAACTCGCACGCGTCAACTCGCCACACCTCTCCGCATTTAGTAACGTCGCCTGGTTACCAACGTTATTGCCAAGGTAAAAAATTATATATACTACATAATTTACTGTATGAAAAATGTAACAAGATAAATGTGTGTCTATAATAAATATTGTTTGATTATTTTCAGCTCAACCTTAGGAAATTTGTCAAATTCGCCGTCCGCCTGTTTTGTGGCGAGCGACGGTGAAAGTCTCCGTCTCTTTCAGGCCGTTATCGATGCGCGAACTCTTTTGGCGGAAATTGCTACATCTGAGCGACGTCATAAAGATACATCTGTATGTTTCTTTTCGAACATAAAATAATAATTTCATATGAAAATCATTATTTATATATATTTTTTTGCATGGTGTAGCAGCAGCACGACACAATGTCGATGTCGTCGGGGTCTAGCGAAGGCGGGGAGGCGGATGAGGGAGGCGTTCCTTTACATGAGCGTATTCGCATAGTATCGCAGCAGTCGACCGCGCGGCCCGGCGCCGTCATTCAGCTGCATGCCATCGCAGACGCAGCACACGACTGGCACAACACCCAACTCCTGCATGTCTTCCAGGAACAACTCATCACAGGTACGTACACGAACGTCATACTTACGTACACGTACGTATGTGTAGGTACGAACATTTTCATGAGTAAACTCTACTTCATTGTTTTTAAAAAATATGTTTCATTCCAGGTGAAAGAACAACAACGGATACCGAGAGCGCGGACTCTGGTGTTGAGGGTTCGGATGTCAATACCATCACTGAAGCTGGTTTCGAAGCCATCGTGGACTTGCGCAAGGCGGCAGTCTTCAATGAGCCATTCTATATCGTTGTGTTGGAACGCACTGACGGAGGCTCCACAGTGCATATGTGGAGATTAATGGTCTCCTCGCAAGCTGACCCATCAGGTGAGAAAGTTAATATATGGATTTTACCGATAGCTTGGTGAAAATTTTTAAATTTATGGACTTATGAAGGACCATTCAAATATATACCTATTTATCGTCATATTTATTGACACAATTTTACCCATTCGTTAACTTTCTTCAACTTAGAAATGTGTTTCTATTTCAGACGATATGACAAACAGCATGATGTACGTACCAGATAGTGCTCTGGTGCAAGAGGAGGAGGGCGAGTCTCGCAAGAACTCTGTGTCAGTGGACGCGGACCGCGCGCTGCCGCAACCGCCTATACACTCACATCTGTCCATCTCTACTAAGAAAGTAAGTAACATTCCTTTATCAAAACATCTAAAACATCTTTTAAATTGTTAGTAAGTAAAGGTAATTTTTAATACTATCTAACACGTCGTTTAAAGATCTTTTTATCTTGGTCTCCTGTAAATGAAAGATTCGAGAATCGTCTGACATTTTTAATCAATTAAATCATAGAGAAGATAAGTCCTAATTATTACTTCCTACTACGTAAATGTACTAACTAGCACTTACTATTTGTAAAAAATGATTCTTAGGTGTGCGAATGTCCATTGTCATTGCCGGACGGTGTAGATGTGATCCACGCGACGCCGGCCGCGGGACATCTGAGCTCGGCCTCCATATACCCGGCTTGTTTAGCACCTTATATACTTGCCACCGCATGCTCTGACAGCACTTTGAGGTATATATTTATTATACTTAAAGTTGTTTTTTGTCTATCAAAAGTGACATTTTCAGTTTACATTATACGGATCTTGTTTCAGGTTCTGGAAATGTAATGTAACTAAAAATGAAAATGATGAGATGGAGTATGCATGGAAGGAATGGGAAATGATGAACAAAGATCAAGAATCAGCTATAGACATTCCAGGTATCATGCGTTTATTATCCCTAAAAGATAAGAAAAGAGTATAGGTTATTGTAAAAAAATTAAGATATAAAATATTATTGAATTGTTTTATTGTTCATGTTATTTTTTTATATACGACTTTTATAGACCAACAATGTTATGTGACCCGGTGAGCATAAGTAGATTGATAGCTCACTAGCGACCCCCTTCAACGTCATGAAGGTGTCTCAAGGTCCTAGATGTAGTTTGTCTATGGTGTCAATATCAAGACTTTCGATTGGGGCTTTAATTTCGTTGTTTGTATACAGGTCAGCCGTTACACATAAGCGCGGCGTACTCGGGTCGTATAGCGTGCGCGTACAAATGCGGACGTTCGTTCACGCGACCGAAGGGCGGGACGAGTGCGAGCACGGACGCACGCTTCGTCAACCTGTGCGTCTGTGTTTACGAATGTGAAAGTACCGGCGGAGCGGAATGGCTGCTAGAAGACACGATACCACTGCGGAATGTCAGCCTGCCCCGCGTCGGTGTCAGTGTGGATACACAGATAGATCTCTCGTATTTACACGATACATCCTTCATGCAGAAGAAACAGAGATTGACGCAGGTGAATTTATTTTAATTTTACTCAAGTAGTCACGTGAACTAGCTTATATCCCAATTAACAAACTTAAATGCACCAGAAAACTACATCATCATCATCATCAACCTGCCCTTATCCCTATCGAGGGTCGGCACAGTATGTACTACTCCTCCATACATCTTTATCAGCCGTCATATCCGAGTCTACCCCCTTTCATACGCATATTCTCTTTCACACGGTCATTCCATACTTGTTTTGGTCTTCCCCTACCCTTGTAGCCATCCATATTTAATCTCATTAATTTTTTACTTATATCATCATACCTCCTCATAACATGTCCAAACCACGCTAATCTTATACTCCTCAATTTGAAAAACTTATCGAGTCATATTGTTATTTAAATAATTTAAATTTTTCGACATAATACGTTTTTTTAAATTAATTTAACTTAAGTTTCTTTTTTATTTCACTATGTTTTATTTTGTGTGTATATTTCAGGTTCTTCAAACACTATCATCTGATGAGAGTAGGAACAATCGTAACGGTGAAGGTGACTCGGGGAAATCTGCGGGATTGTTAGCTGTACCATCATTCAGCACACTACAATCACTGCGACGTAGTATAATGGAGAATGGCAACACATGTCCTTTAACACAGAAGCATCTTGTGCAACTGGACTGGGTATCTAAAGAAGATGGCTCACATATACTGACAGTAGCTGTTGGTTCTAGAGTATTACTCTTCACGCCGGTCTCCAGTGATCTTGCTCAGGCCAATTTAAAGGTAGGATTTGAAAATAGTTCTTTTATATTGTTACAATGTTCTTTTTTATTTTAATTTTTTTATAGAGATTTTGATTATTATGAAAATATCAGTCCCATAGCAAACTAAACGATGTGGCACTACAATTTTCATCATTTATCTCTTACTGGTTTTACTTTTAGGCTTGTATACGTTATCGGCCATATATTGGCACGTCTGGAATTAGAGTAGTCTATTGCCCTTTGTGCCAACTTAAGGTTTGGGAGCTGCACATTGATATCCTGGTAATGTTTTATTTCAGGCAATGAAAGAATCAATAAACAACAACCGTCCTATACTAAGAAAGGCATCATCTCTCGCTGCGCCGCTGTTCGTGGAAGAGATCAGATGGATGCAGCTGCGTCGTATAGATCTGAAGACAGCAGATGGTCTGCCTCCCCTGCCTATGCAGATTTCTTGGGTGCGCGACGGTATTCTGGTGGTCGGCATGGACTCAGAGATGCATGTTTACTCACAATGGAAACCTGAGAACCAACAATTACCGTCGGGACAGATACAGGTATTAATAAATATTTAAGATTTTTTTATTCTATTAATTTAATTTATATTTAATTATGTTTTATTCATATTTCGCTGATATTCTGTACATAGGTTATTGATAGATACGTTATCCGGAGCACAAAAGTGAGACGAAATAAAAGGCCTTTGCAGACCTTTTCTTGAAGTAAAATTGTTAGTTACAATACAAAATGACATTTGGGTTTTTAGTACTACTGTCTAACCGTAATTTAATTTGTTATGTAAAGTTTTTGTATAATAAAATAAAAAATATCGAATTCCGATTAGACGTCAAAATTGTATGGAATAATCCATCAATATTTATAAATAAATGGATCTATAGTTACGTAAAAATTATGTTTTTCCGAAATTTGCTGTTTATATTGAAATTCAGTTTTGTATTGGAACGATATGCGATGTTTGTTTATAGGAAATAGAGGAGGGCGGCGAGTCTCGCGCACTCCGCGACTCGGACTTGCGCGTGTCCGCACCACATCTCCAGCGCGTCTCCTCCATCAATCTGCAGCTGCTGGAACGAGACGCAAGGAGAAGGAACAAAGCTCAGTCAGATCAACCTCAAGTATGTTAGCATTTCAGTCAAAATAACTACCAGTTAAAACTTACCAAAACAATAATATCAAAACATCTTGATATGACTGTTTTTTAAAGAGAAAGATAGAGACGCCAATAAGTGAGTTCCTATAGTGTTGATGATCATCTCGATGTTCCCGCTGTTAGTTTACACCCCGATATTTTATACTAGATGGCGCCCGCGACTCCGTCTGCGCGGAATAAAAAAAATAAACTTAGTAGGCTATATATTCTTCAATAGTATGTTCTACATCTGCGTCTAATTTCTCAAGATCCGTTGAGGCGTTCCGGAGATACCTTCTAACAAACATCCGTCCCTCCAGCCATGTCAAATACAAAATTCACTATTATATCTCGCATGTTAATAAGGTCTATTTCTCTCTGAACAGCCTCTATTGAACTACATGCCTGACTACGGACTATTCGAGGCATCACAAATGGCCTGCCCAGTTCTACCGCAGTACCATCCCAAACAGTTGATGGAGTTATTGAACAGCGGGAAAATACGATGGGTGAAAGCTATACTCGCACATTTGGTCAGGTTAGTGTTTTTTTTATAATTTGAAAATTAATCATCAGCAGCTCACTCTACGTCCACACTGATATGGCTCGGAGCCTAGGAGTAATTAGGAGTAACTAGGTCATAGTCAACCATGCTGACCAGTGCGGGTTCACTTCACTTTTATTATATGATATGGTCAGGTTGCATCACGATGTTTTCCTTCCCCGTTAGAACGTTGGATAAATATACATATGTAAATTGAAGATCGAAAAACATATTGGTACATGGCGGGTTTCGAACCCATGATCTGGAGATTACAAGTCTAGTGCTTAACCACTGAGCCACCGATGAATTATGACAAAGTGCAATGTTTATAAAATTATTTATATTATAGGTGTATCGGAGGATCTTACGCAAATCGCAGTTCTCAAGGCGACGAGGACAGTCTCTCGAGACAGGTAAAATAAAGGCCGTAATAATTGCAACATGAGTTTCACTATAGGCCTAATGATATGTGAATCGTATGACGCTCACATAAGCTTCAATTATGATATGTTTCAACGTCGCTTTGCATACGTACGGCAGTGTTAAGGCAGTCTATATATCTAAACATAGTTGTCCAATGAAATTCTTACCATAGACATTATTACATAATTAGCTATTTACAAGTATAATACAGTCGAATCTAGATAAGCGAGAGTCCAAGGGACCGCGGTATTTTTATCACTTTCCTAAATGAAGTTTATATGGAGGTAGTCGGGACCGGACAATAACTCTTGCTTATGTTTTTGCTTATCCAGTTTTAATTTTATTAATTAGTAGTAATTCACATTATCAAATGATATCAGTGTATAAATGCATTTTAACCTTGTTTTGCTAACTTAAGGAAGCATATAAAATTACCTTATGTATAACGTAGGATTGTTGAAATGTTGCTTAAAGCAACTCACGTGCATATATCAACATGTAACAAAGTGATATATAAAGATGGTTTAATAAGCCGATAAATATCATTTCAATTATCTCCATGAATTATATAGGACTGTTCGCATTTTGTAGCTTTTGTATTGCAAACACCTGAGCTTTGGATTCACAATTTCGCACCAATTGCCACTTTTCATTATCATCACACAGTTTTTCAAAATTTTATTTCATGAATTATAAAAATTATTTGGCATTAATATTTAAAATAGATCGGAGAATAAACTTTAAAGGCGATTTCTTAGATTTTGTAAGCGATTTTGTAGCTAACATAGAACCATGTGTAAAGTGTATTAAACTGTTCAAAAAAGGTCATAGGTGGATTTCTTTTAATTATTGCGTTTGCAAATGTAAAATGCGTATGGCCATAAATGTTGTAAATCCGGTCGTTGTCGCATGACGTAATGTCCGAGCATGTTCATTGAATGGCATGCGTGTCGCGTACGCAAGATGGCGGCACGTACGCAAGATGGCGGTGCGTACGCAATATGGCCGTACGTACGCAATATGGCGGCGCGTGCATGTGGCGTGTGTTGCAGCGCGGCTGGTCGCGGTCGCGCACGCTGTCCGTGTCCTTCGCCGCCGGCGCAGCCTCGCCGCTAGATGGCGTCACACAGGTAAATCAATACGCCAAAACTACAGAATCTGCGGTCACTAATAAATAATATAATTATATGATATTCAATAAAATTAGTAAGAAAAACATTGCAACGGAACGGTTCTTTTCTTTTTGTATCCATGTTATTTTGCAAAAAAAAATGTTCTCTTTAAGATTTATTAATTTGTGTGCACCTCACACATTCACAGCATAAATCCATTGCATGTATTACGCTTACGCCATGTCAAAGTGAAATACTGACATACAAATACCATGTCAGCCCACACATCGTGGTGTCATTGTTTGTGAACCCAATATGTTTGTATTCGCGTTGTTTTTTTTAATTTTGTATTTTTTTCAGTTCTTACGACGTTTAACTCTATTCAAAATTAATCAATTGGGTCATGTACAACGTTTTTTTATTTATATTTATTTACTTAATATTGTAACTTGTACAATAATTTGGTTGTTTTTGTTCTTGACAAAGAGAATAACTTGTGAACTCAATTCAGATTACGGAAGATGTCCAATTAGACTACGCGGAACTAACGTCAGTACCTCCACTGCCGCTTTGGACATTGCTGGTAGCTGACAAGGAATCACCTCATCATCCGTCCACTATGCAAGAAGCTAAGGTATATTACATAATTCCTTTATTAATTAAATGATACTAGTTAGAATTTTTTCACCCTTTTGGCTTTTGTTTTCAACCAGGATTACAACGAATTATTTGAAGGAACAATGGAAACTGAAGAGGATTTGGATGCTCTACTACTGAGCGACGAAGATAGAGTCGACCGCCGACCTTCGATGCCAGAAAGACAACCGCTTTCGCATTTCGGTCCTAGACAAGGTAATTATTTAAAAATGCACGACAAAATTAAACACATTTAAGGACGTTACTATTATATTTTTCTATTAAATTCATTTTTTTAGTTCCGTTTGACAAAAATATCTGTAGAAATGTAAACAATTGTCGTAATTCAAATTCAGTCTGTCCATTTATGAAAATTCGAAATCTATGTCGATCGTACTGATGTTAGCGTCGAGTAGATCTAAAAAGCGGCTACATCTTTGGTTAAGGTTAAATTTCTTTGCGTAAGTATACAGCTAGTTGTTTTATACTAGGTCGTATCCTATCGCGACTCCTGACACACACTCACCTGCCGGGGCTCAGCTCATTGGACCAGATGCATCTCCTGGCGCTGGCTGACACAGTGTCGACGTGTGACGCTGACTTTGCAGAGCGGTTCGCCGCCAACGCACGTGTTGATCTCGCGCATAACAACGCACAAGACTTCGTGCCTGGTAATATTGTTTGTCTTATCGATTATGTAAAATTGATATGAAAGTCCCGATTGACTCACATTATGTAAATTACATATACTCCTGCACTTATAATTATATTCGGTTTAAGTAAAAAAAAAATTATTGAATTTTATTTTACGATACACCAATTCTATATTTCGAGATGTATCATCTAAATAAAAATTAATTAACAATTATATATACAGATTCACTAGACGACTGTGGACTACGGTTCCTCCTGGCGATGAAGCACTACGGATACCTACTGCGTTGTTTGCCACTGGCCCAGCGCGCGGCGTTACAGCGCGATGGCGTCGGCACCTGCAACCTAGTATGGGCGTATCACTCAGAGACACACGAGCAGCTGCTGTCTCTAGTGCCTGGGTACACTAAGGGACAGCCCAAGTGGTCCACAATGAGGGAACTAGGTAAACTATCGTTTTTAGAACACATTTAAAAGAATGTATTAACATTCGGTGGTATGTAACTTTCTTCTTAAAACTTTATCTATGACTTGACTTGACATGACAGACCTTTTACTCATGCAAAAGGTCAGGTTATATTTAATCGAAAATTATGGACTGAAACTTATTCCTGACCAAGTGAAATTGGATATCGTAAAAACTGATTTTGAAATTAACCAATAAACACGGTAGGTGTCGCCTTCATCAGAGCGACGAATAACATACAACATTTACAATGCCAGTTATATTACCTATTTACTAAGTTAAATCCTAATTATGCGTTGTGTTTAGGTGTGGGATGGTGGGTCCGTGGCGACCTCTTACGGACGTGCGTGGAGAAACTTGCGCGCGCGTCATACATGGCCAAGCAGGAGCCCATGGACGCCGCGCTATACTACCTCGCTATGAAGAAACGCATGCTGCTCTGGGGACTGTTCCGATCAAACAGAGACGATAGGATGACTGCCGTATGTATCATATTACTTTGTACTGTACTCAAATAACAAAGCTCATATTATCTTCTTGTAAAGAATAAGTTTTATAGTATGTATTATCTGCAAAGTCAATTTGATAGTTTTGATTTATCTTGCAGTTTTTCGCTAACGACTTTACGGAGGATCGTTGGCGTAAGGCGGCGTTGAAGAACGCGTTTGTGTTACTCGGCAAGCAAAGGTTCGAACACGCTGCAGCTTTCTTCCTGCTAGGGGGCGCTTTAAAAGACGCTTTGGAGGTCAAGACAAGTCTTTATAATTATTTGATATTGTTTATCAATATTTTGAGATTACAATAGCTTGGGAATTTCAGGTACTGATAACCCGTTTGGGAGATTTACAATTGGCAATGGTTATCGCACGCCTGTACGAATCGGACAGCACGTTGCCGCCCAGTTTACAAAAATTACTTATGGATGAAGTACTAGGGTAAGTGCAACTGTAATATATTGTTGTCTTTGTTTTTATACAAGAGAATGAGAGAGATGAATGTACCTATGTATATATTTTTTTAACTTAAACGTTTTTATTATAGGGGGGAGACAGAAGATGGTGAGATAGACTTGGAGCGAGCGCATCCGGATCCATTTGTTCGTTCTATGGCGTTGTGGGAGCTGCGTAGGTACGGTGCCGCGCTGGATACACTCCTGCGCACCGCCGGCCGTCTCCACGCAGCGAACAACTCTGACGAGCCCGTGCCCAGCGTGTTTAACTTCTACGTATATTTACGCACGCATCCAAGACTCAAGCGACACAATTTACCCACCCAGGTAAACTAATAATTCTAGTGGGTTACGATAGTTTATGGAGGAGGTATATAAGCCACTTTCTCCTGTGTAAACTATCGTAACTAATATTTTTTTTATTCTGATTTGGTTTTTTGTATTGTTTTTAATGTTCTTGGTTTTTAATCAGTACCATTACTTTTATATTTCTTAATTTTAAAATTAAAATCAAAATATGAAACACACTTTTTTAACTACTGTTTATTATTTTTTTAATTTGTATGTTTAATTGTTTTTATTATAGGGTGGAACATTAGCACTACTACAACAAGAAGCAGAGGAGGGCATTACGCGCTTGGAGCGGCGGCTGTACTTCCAAACTGCGCACGGTCACTTCAAGGCGGGCTGTCCGGCGCTCGCTCTGGAGGTGTTGTCCAAGTTGCCCGCCAGAGTGCGCGATGAGAAAATAAGACAACCCGTGTCCGCTCCTTCGGTTGAAGAGACTTTCATACATACAGGACAGATTGTAGAAAACACACCTGCGAAAAGTATGTATTTTTTTTTAATTGAAAGATATATGAATAAAATTAACCATTTTTTGTGTCATCAATAACAGACTGATTAATATATTTCAATGATCAACAGAGGAAGAAGAGAATGTAGATTGGAGTTCCTCGTCAGTAGACTGGGGCGCGCCGGTCACTACAGTTAAGAACGATGACCTTGTTCTGTCTTGGGATGATGACAACGAAGACAAAGAGTAAGTTACATTACCTCTTAATCATCAGATCAGACTAAAATTGCTATTTTATCTAATTTCATTATATTTTTTAAAGTTCTGAGGGATCCGGTGCTTCAACTCCGCCACTAGAAATGAAAATAAATAAGCCCGAGGAACCGATTCAGAATGGACTTGAAGACCAGAAAGAAGAAACCCCTCCAGTTGACATCATGGCCCAGCAGTTGAAATTCGTAGCTTGCTTGAAAATCTTGATGGAGGAGCTCAGTACACTGGCGACTGGATTTGAAGTCGATGGTAAGAGAAGATTTGTTATATATAATTTTTGGGTAAATTATTTCCAATTAGAATTCTGAAACATCCATCCATACATATTGTTTGTTTGTAAGTATATTTTACTGTATGTTGTGCGACGTGTGTTGTGTAGGCGGTCACCTACGCTACCAGCTGTACATTTGGCTGGAGCGCGAGGTGGAGGCGCTGCGGCGGCTGTGCGGTTACGCGGCGGCGGGCGGCGGCGCGGGCGGCGAGCTGCTGTGCGCCGACGCAGACCCGCCGCCGCTGCCTGACCGCCCCACGCTGCATCAGCTGCTCGCTCGGGAGAAGGCCGACTTCGAGGCCAAGGTGCAGCGCGCTGTCAGGCGCCGCAAGTGGCTCAAAGGTAACTTTTCATTATAAATTGCATGTTCAAATCACAGTAAAGACAAATAAAAATAATTTAACGTAAAACTATGTAACTAATAACGCAGCGAACGAAACGTTACTGCGTACCCTACTGTCGTACTGTTCGCTGCACGGCGCGGGCGGTGGCGGACTGGCATCGGTGCGCATGGAGCTGGTGCTGCTGCTGCAGGAGCTGGGGCAAGACAAGCAGCACCAGCAGCTGCTGTCACCGCTGCCCTTCCCCACCACGCTGCCGCTATTGGCGGCCGCAGTTGCCGCCAACAACACCGTAGTCGCAGACCCTGTGCGACACTTGCAGGTCATTCAGATACACTTAACAACTTTATTACATATATGACGCATCCTTAGCACATGTATACTTGTGTTACTAATTTATTGCAATTTTCTCCAGATGAATATCCATGGTCTCTGTCTACCACTCTGGGTTACAGGCGTTGAAGTTATTGTCTTCATGTAAATGTGTTCCATTTTGACTTGATTGTGGCGTTTTCTAATATCAAAGTCGACAGCAGTGATATAGTACAAAGAGCATGTAATAAAGTGTAATAAATATTGGTAGTGCGTGGCGCACGACATGCTGGGTACTGTGGGCGAGCTGTGCGTGCCAGGCGGAGCGGCGACGCGGCTGCTGCACACGCTGAGAGAGCTGGCCGTCGCGCTCTCCGCCTGCATATACCAGAGTCTTTGCGACTCCGACACCTTCAGCCTCAAGCACGCCCATCACCACGACGGGTATGTTGCTTATATTGTTAGAATATCAAATTATTTGAAAATACTCAGATTAACTTTTATCTTTATTTTTTTTTTATTAGAATGATTGCAGAAACTCCAGGCACATCCAATCTTCTAGTCCGACCGAGACGGTACTCTGTTGAAGAACTGTCCGTCACTACCACTCCAAATAAATGGCCAGGTAGTAAAATTTTTATTCAATTTAAACAAAAATATTGATGCCAAGGATTTAAAAAAAGTTTAAATGTGAATAAGTCAAGAATTGTTTATTACTTGTTTTTTTTTAATAATAATTAGTTTTATTTATTAACTACACAAACAATACAAATATTAAGAAATATAAGTGTTCATACTGTAGCAACTTCTATTAGTTCTGTAAACGAAATTACAGTCCCGAATATAATTCCTTTACCATTAAGACAACCACTGTGCCTGTTGTCTGTAGGTGTGTCCGCACTCCGTGGTCTGGCTCTACGTGCGGCGGAGGAGGAAGACTCGCCGCGACTGGCTGTGCTGCTGGCGGAGGCGTTCTGTGCGGTGTACCTCGCACTATTGGGCTGGGCGCTGGCGGCAAGAGACGCGCACTTGCTGTATCGTCTCGCCGCGCACACTGCGGATGCGCGTGCGCACGCACGCCTCTTTGGGGGCGGAGTTAGGCGCTTGCTTACGACCGCACCTGCACCGCCTCAGGTACACAAACTACTATACATTATCCCTTTAAAAAGATTACAATATTTTTTATTCCTTTCAAAACTTTAAATTTGTCTAAATTTCATATATAAAAATGACTCATTACTGTAAAATTGTCAAGCCTCAAATTGTCAGCCTAAAGCCACGACATCGTTGTCGTACATAAAAAAATCTCATATTTTAATCCTATTATTGCTTGCAAAGAGGAAAAATATAAAAATAAAGTATTAATTTCCAGCCGAAGTTAGTAGAGCGCGCGGAGGGCACGTCTGTATGGTCGTCGTTGCGGGAGAAGCGCGCACTACTGCATATGCGGCTGCTGGGTATGGGCCCCGCCGCGCCCAAACACATACAGGAGGGCCGACCCACATACAGGGAGCAATTCGTACCACCCCAGTGTAGTATACTCACCTTCCTGTTGACCAAGGTACATGCAACCGTTATACCCTCTCAAATCTTTGCAACTCTTAAGACATCCTGCCCCAATCCTTTTCCGTTTAGTTGTGCGATTGTTAGTAAAAAAAATATTTGAAATGTATTCAGCCAACGTCGGAGCAAGATCCTGAGAACAACGACTATGACTCAGCGGAGTCGGGAGCAGAGGACGCCGAGGAGAGCGGCAGCGAGCCTGAAGATGACGACATTTTCGACACCAACACTAACAAGTACTCATTATTTAATTGGTTTTTGTATCACACTTATGAACATTAAAACATTACTTATGATTTTTTAAGGTCGTAGTATTTTAATTCAGCTGTAATATTTTAGATCGGAGAAAAGACACAAGGGAGCGAACATGGAGCATTCTGACCCGGACTCGTACTCTTGGTACGTGATGCGCGTGGCCGTGCTGCGACTTGCGCAGACCAAGCTGCAGCAGTTCCTGCAGCTGTGCGGCATCGAGATGTCAGGTAAACACGAACATACACCATATCGTGACGTTATACATCTAATATTATTAAAAAAAGGCGCACAGGTCAAATACGCCTATTGAAAAAAAATAATCTTTGTTGATATCTGTACTTTTCTAGTGATTTTTGGTAAATAAAGGTCATTCAATCGTACATTCTTATGTCAAAAATAAAATTCCTTCCGTTTATTTGAGTCTAAAAACAATCAAGTTAGTTGACATGAAATATATTTTATTCTTTAGAGTTGGCCACGACGAGCCCCATGGTACACGGCGCGCTGCGGCGCGTGGACCAGTGGCAGCAGCAGCTGACTGAGGCGCTGGAGGCGCGCGCTCCGCCGTCTGACTACATACCCGGCTGCTTCCCCGACCAGGTCACTGCCGGCCCACCCATCAATAAGTACAGGTAAGGTCTAGCAATCTGGTGAATGTGCTCTTCGACCATACACTGTTTTTAACGTAAGTTGTGTCCTTTAAGAACCACCCGTTATATCAGCATTTTTTTTAAATTTAACACACATTACAAAAGTCACTTCAATATGCTGATGATAAAGTGTTAAAAAAGTGTGCCCAATTAATCGTTTGCCTTTTACTAATATACTATCTTGTTGCAGATGTTTGTTGGAGAAACACAACACTCCATTTAACTCTGCATTATACAGCGCAGCGCCTGCCAGACGGCTTTGGAGCTATTTAGTTAGACAGGAACAAGTTCAGGTAAATAATTTTTATAAACAAGATTTATTTTAAAGTATTTTTAAAAATTTGATGTTTATTAATATGTATTATACGTCAGGACGTGTTCATCCGCGCGGTGTTCTCGCGACGTCGCGCGCAGTCCGTGGCGGCGGAGAGTGGTGCAGGAGGTGCGGGAGGCGCGGCGGGTGCAGGGGGTGGTGAGGCGCGCGGGGGGTGCGTGCCGCAGCCGCGTGCCGATGATGACCTGCACAGCCCCGTCCGCATCATACACAAGGAGCAGGACTCCATCGCTGCCTTCTGCTTAAATCGGGTACTTTCTGAGGGCTGCGAACTCTCCTTAATTATTCTAAATTCAGATCGAGTAATGCACACATTTATAGGGTGGATTTTTTGATTGTAATTTGTAACGTGACGTTGTGTTGTTAGGTGGGCGGTGGCCTGCTGGCGGTGGCGACGGCGCGCGAGGTGCAGGAGATGGACGTGTCGCTGCTGCTGCGAGGCGGCGCCAGCTGGGCGGAGGACGAGTGCGAGGTGGACCTGCTGGCGCTGGCCGCGGACCCCGCCGCGCTGCCAGACACCGGCTTCCTCCTCATACAGCATCACGACAGGTACAAACTGTCATACACATACTCACATGATCCAAAATTGATTGATGTATCACTCTTTGGGATACGCATAATAAAGGAAGGAAGGAAAGTAGAAGTTTATTAAATACTTATTCGAAGACAATGTGTTTCTTTTTCTTGTATCAAAACCGAGTGTTATCTTTAATAAATTAGGTTTCTAGCAAACTTTAAATATACGTCTTACAGTGGGTTTCTGACACCAAAATCTTTATACATACATCGTTATCCCTGTATTTCATCTTTGACGAAAAGTATTTAAACATAATATTTTAAATAGGGATTTGGTCTCAGAAACCCACGGTTAGTCCGTCTTGTAGTTGAATTAACTATTTGTTTGTAGAGCAAACAACAGTTCAGTGCCGGGTACGGGCAATAGTTCGCCGCTGAACCCCAACGCGCCGCAGATGCCCGTCGGCATGGCCAGCCAGACCGGCCGCGGCGCCAGCGTGGTAAGTCTTCACTATTTGCATACTCATATTGTATGATGGTTTTATTATTCATATAAATGTATGGAGAACATTAATTGCTTGAAAACAATAACTTATATGTTGAATCTATTTTTGGTAAATTAACAGAATAACAAAACTAATAATAAGATTAATATTTAAAAACATCATTGAAATAAAGTTTACATTGTTATTTATTATTACGATGAACTAATTGCTTATTTCAAAATCATATATCGCTAAAAACTATCAACATGTTGGGTCATGTAGTAACAGTCAACTAATATACAAATAAACGCTTATAATATGTAATTTAAAAATTCCTGACTGATTATTTTGCAAGAATTCAACTAATGCTTTGGACACTTAAAAATAAGAAAGGGTTTCCTCTCGACATATTTGTATGAAAACATATTGTCTCTCTCATTCTGTCTGAAAGGAAAGAGACAACATTATGTTGTACAAGTGACGTCACCGGTTTCAAGGTTATTGTGAATATTAGATGTAACTTATGTCAGCAGGAGCGGCGGGCAAGCGTCGCAAAGCTAACAGGTCACGAGGCGTACGTCACCACAGTACGTGCATCCACTAACGCACTCACTGCCGCAGTACTGTACCACTGAACATATCGCTATCTCACTCTGACGCACACACCAATATTCAAATGTGCTTTATGTCTATAACAGTTTCATTGAAGGCTTAATTTTTTTGCATTTTTAAAAACAATGCTTCGAAAAGTTTTTATATTATTCATGAAACTAAATTAATTAGAACGAAGCAGTTTGGGATATTTAATTTCAATTATACGGTTTCATAAAATTACATAATACTGTTTTATAACGTCGCGTCTACTTTCACTTGACCTCTACGAGCAGTGTGATATAGTACAAAATACGTATTCAGTGATACAGTGCTGCGGCTTACGGGCAACTGGTGTTGGTCTTGTGTACGTGCTGGTGCGCTGACGCTTCTCGCGCTTTTTATTCTATACGATGCGTTTCTAATAAGAATGTGCGCGAGGTAATGCTATATTGTAACGTTATACCTCACGAATTGAAAAGTCTTTTTTTAAGTTAAAAAAAAATGCTTGTTGAAATCTGCAATTTTCTAGCGTTTTTGACAGGTTAAAGGTGGTGGTACGCACATTCTTATTTGAAATGTACTATAACGTGGTGTCGTGAAGAAATTGGAGATCATGCGAACAACTTTATATGTCAGATGATAGTGTCAATAAAAAGAAAGCACTTATTAATTATACATTAATTTTCTCTCTCATATTATAGATGTAAATAAAACATATATTTCCTGATTGTAAATTATTTACATTAAATTAACTTCGTACTGGTCTTATTTATGTTGAAATATGGTATTTGATGTTCATTTCTATCACTTTCATTTTTTTTTCGAAGAGAAACCTTTTTGGTTTTTTTATTTTAGATATTGGTCTTCATCTATTGGTGTTAGTGGATTTATCTATAAAATTATCGTCAGATATAAAAAAAAATAGATGTACAAAATTGTCTGTCTGTTGTGTGTGAGTGCGCGTAACGATTGGTGGTCGCAGGTAAAGGGTCTGCAGTTCCCGGGTTGCCACGACGCGAAATATTGTCGTCTGGTGCTGCATCGCTCCAAACTCCTCATGAAACCGGTCAGTTACACCGCCCCGCCCCTCTCTTACCACATCCGAACACTTCACCTCCCTTTATCCATTGCACTCGCAAGGCTCGCTAGTGGTCATCTTCAATTTTTTTTTCTTTTTGTTTCAGTCTAATGACTTTTTCTCTTTGAGTTGGCCGTCTTTCATTGGAGTTGTTGAGTTTAGTTGTTTTTATTTTCTACCAGTTTGCTCGTCGTTTATTTTTGTACGGTATCATCTCATAGCTTCACATTGTTTTTCGTTCCAGTTTTGTTTTTTTACTTCATGTTTGATCGCTGTATTTTCATTATACACCATTGCCACTTTTCTTTATTCAGCATTCTTTATGTTTGAATAATTTATTGATGTATTTGTAACATTGTATGGTTGTTAACCTTACATGTTTAAATAATTAAATACATCATAGTTTTGTAGATGAATGTTAATAATTTACCTGTATTACATTCAGGTGCTGAAACATAAGATCGACAACATTAAACGGATGGCTGCGCATCCATCACAACCTTTATGTAAGTGCTACTTTTGTACGTAGATTACAAACAATACTACGCTTTCGCCCAAGACAACTATATAAAATTTTTTTTTTCTTGAGGATGCACAGAACGAAATCAATTTCCATATGCATCCTATCATCCGGAAAGTCCACTTCCACTTTCCATCCTTTCCTTATGAGAAATAGGGTAGGAAGGGAAAGAGGACTAAATTAGGCCTCCGGGACGCACACTCATCAGACGAAACGCGGAATTGCTTCCACTACACGCCTGTCTTCTGTGTGATCGTGGTATTTCACGAAGTTTGCGAAGTTGTTAAAGCGGGCTCTACCACTGTTATCGATGATATAGGTTATGAGTATAAGGTTGTTTGCAGACTTGACTGGTGGTGCGGACGGGTCTGTTCAGCTGTGGGAGTGGGGCCATCCGTCGTGTGTTTGGTCACCACGTGCGCCGGGCGCCTTCGCCAAGGTGACGCGCGTGCGTTTCTCCGACTACGGCAACAAGTTCGCAGCGGCGGACGCGGATGGCAATCTCGCCATGTGGCAGCTGCACCCTGCGCCTGCGCAAGCGTACCCGCCCACAACCAACGCGCACGGACAGCCCACCGCGCACGCATCGCCCAGACCATTCTTTGTAAGTGTCTTAGCATTGATGACGTAAAGTGGCTTAATAGTTATAGTACTTCAATTAAGTGTGAAGAAGTGACAAATTATGTAACATTGTTATTCGGAATTAACTTATATATTGTATCTTCCAGACTCATCAGTGTCACAGTAAAGGAATAAGTGATTTCGTTTTCCTCGGTTCCTGTAGTTTAGTTGCCACAGGTAATTTTTTTTAAGTATTTTATTTTTGTTTGTATTGACAACGAATTTATAACCTTTAACATGTTGCAGCTGGGCACAGTTCGGAGAGTAAGAATGTTGCCATATGGGACACGTTGATGCCGATCAAGAAAGCACTTGTTGTTTGTAAGTAATGTAACTACAGATTTTCTTTACAATTACATTACATTCCTTAACTTTACAAGGGGAAAATAAAAAGTTACTTTCTTATGGTACCAAGTTTTCTAATTATTTGTCAATACTTATTATTTTATTATTTTAAATAAATAAAAAAACTTTATTTCTGTAAAATTATTAAAGTGAGTTATTATTAGAAGTTTGTCATATATATATGGTATATATAAATATATGGGTGTGTAGCGTGGACGTGTCACGAGGGCGGGGCGGCGTGCGTGTCGTGGGCGGGGTGTGCGGGCGCGCTGGTGTCGTGCGGGCGGCGCGGCGACGTGCTGGTGTGGGACCTGCGCGCGCGCGCCCCGCGGCACAAGCTGCACGCGCACCACGCACCCATCAAGTGCGTCGCGCTCTCCCCACGCGAGGACTACTACGCGGTCGGCGCTGCCGACGGAGATATCAAGGTACGCATCACTCAAACATGTTTTGTTGTTTTTTTTTGTTTATTAAGAGGAAATCTGTTAAATTGACTAGTGAATCTTACTAATATTATAAATGCCAAAGTTTGGATTTCTTAATGGATGAATGTTTATTAGAAAGTATCCTTCAAACAGTTTAAAGAATCTTGATGAAGTTTGGCACTTATGGAGAACGTAGTTTGAATAAAATCATACTTACTAAGTTTTTTTTAATTCCTCGCGGACGGACTGAAAAACCTAGTATGTGTTGATTTTGTATGTAGGATATGTAAGGCAAAGATATATTTAAAATATGAACGATTTTTACGTCAGGTGTTCTCGTTGGCGACGCACCAGCTGCTGCATACGTTCGCCGGCGAGCACGCCCGCAGCTCCTTCTTCAAGCACATCGGACAGGGCGTCACGCAAATACACATCGGTAACAATACTTATTACAACACATTTACTGTATTTTAAAGGTCGATAACAATTTTAATAATGCTACAAGTTAAGTAAGAAAAAGAAACTGAAGTTACACGAGTTAATTCCCTCGGAATACTCTATACTTTTTATAGTGGATGTTTGAATTGGCCTAATGCAATTTTTTTTATGAAAACGTATATCAGCCATTAGCGGTGTGTGAATAATACGTTTGTTTCAGATAACTGCGGGCGCATGTTCTCGTGCGGTGCAGATGGCACTATGAAGGTGCGCAAGCTGCCGGAGCGTGATGCACCGCTGCACCAGCTGCATCAGCTGCACCAGCCGCACTACTGACCACTGGTACTTACTATACTCGCATATGGCGACTGAATTTATCTCTACTCATACTGTCATCACTACGCCATCTACTGGCAATACATTTTTTTTAAATGGTGGCAAACGAGTAAGCGGACACCTGAACCGACAGCTACCCATAGACATACAATTGCTGCTTTGCCTACCTACAATAGACGGAGCAGACACACCTTAATATTTCCCCTTCCTTTGGGTCCCATTCTCCATCTAATCCCCTACCCCTTCTCTTTTTATAAGGTTGGAAAAGAAAGAGGACAAAAATTACTCTTTCGGAACGCATACTTATCAGACGAAACGCGGAATTACTTCCACTTAATGCTTTTCTTCTCTCTCTCTGCCTAGCTTGCATCCTACAAGGTGGGGTCAGCTTTCCCAATCCGTCTCTTTCACTTAGCTAAGTGAGTGAGCAGACAGAGCTCTGTCTTCTGTTTAGTTCTATTTTTTATCTTAAAATGTTTTTTTTTTCAGATGTCTTAGATTGTAGGTGGTGGTAGATGAGAGCGGCGGGGGGCGCTCCTGTGATGTATTCGTTGTTGCTATTGAAATGTTACGCGTATGTTGAGACGCCGTCAGACTAGTCACTGGCAGGCAGATATCTTTAGTGTGTTTGAATACCTATATATGAATCTTTAGTTTTATCTAGTACGAAATAATCAATATTTTTATCTTAATGTATCTTAGATGAATTATATAAAGAAATTATTTATTCATTAGTAAAATCCAGTTCCATGTTAACGGATGGCCTAAGTATCGTACACGATGTTCTATTGAGATTGCTAAATGGTAATGTAGAGTGCAATATTATGAACGACTAGTAAATGTTGAAGCTTCAAGTATTTGCTACCAACTGAGTCTGTATCACAAATTTAACAAGTTTTAAATTCTTCGGGAAGAATTCCATTAATAAAAAAAATATTAATATACTAATATAATCAACCTGCACTGGGCCAGCGTGGTTGACTATGGCTTAGTCACCCTTAATTTAATTTAGGCTCCAACCCCCTTAATGGGGACGTATAGTAAGCTGATGATGATTAATATACCAGTATCCATAACATTGTTAAATCTACCAATATATAGGAATTGATTGCGTTATTTAAAATATTAAATTTTGATGTTTATCATACGATAGGTATGTTATAAGATAGGTTTCTTTTCTATGATGTTTTATCTATCTTTAAAAAAAGTATAATTTTTTATCAAATTTATCTTATTTAACATATAGATAGCAATTTTAAATATATCCCTTTGTAACCTTGAGGGTGATCACGGCAGTAATTTGGGGGATGTTAACAGATTTAAATAGCATTAAGACTCAGCTTGTAGCAATACTATAAAATAGATATCATGTTAGCTGTTTTATATATTTAGCTTGTGATGTGATTACAGACTCGTTATATAAACTTGTTGACGCATAATAAATAACATATATATCAAATCTAACATATATGATCGTGGCTTACGTGTAACGTTTTAGAGTACTTTGAAAATTCTATTGTCGTGATTTAACTGTTCGCTTCGTAATGAATGCTTGCGTATCTCTTTTCTATTAGACGTAAGTTTGTCCTATTTGTGTGTTGTATTTGTATCGAAAGTTTATCATTTCGATTACTTGTTTAAAAAGCAATATTTTGAATTTGATGTAAATTAATCGAAGTAATGATATAGTTATTTGTGCGTTGTTTAGCCCTTACGAAACAGTATTATCGCAAATCGATGCGATTTTGAGAGAACATTTTATTTTTGATTTTTCGCATGGAAGATACATTTTTTTTAGCCTGAAGCATAGATATTTTACCGTCTAGATGGAGCGTTTCCAGTTTGTACATGAAGTGTAAAGTAAAATAAACTAACATTTGTTAAGATGTTTATTATTGGTATTTTATGTTTATGGTAGGTTAAAATCTAAAACCTATTTATCAAATACAATATTTTATTTTATTGTTGTTGTAAAATTATTAATTAATGTTTTAAATATGTCACAACGAATTATATTTTTATAAAGCAATAAAACATAAATATTAGGAAAGAGGACAATAGTAAATGACAACACTGGGGAAATTTACCACAAAAAAGTGCTCTGAATGTTCCATCTAGAGGTATAAGTCTATGGTCTGAATGTTCGCATGTATGTAGTAAAATTAATAAGGTTTATAAAATGCCTTGTCGCTATATTCCACTAAAATAACGATAATGTTTATTAATTTGGTTTTAAATATTTATTTTTATGATTTTAGATTATTTTATCTGCGTAATCACTTCACGTTTTATCTTATAAGAATGTCTGTAACACTGATGTCGGAAAATGTATAGATAATATAAAATGTGTAACATCTTTATTTCTTGACATTCAGTTTCGATCAAACTCAGATATTAATATAATATTGCCATCATCTAGAGGGCTTTTTATTTTTTAAATGTCGCCCTAACCTACTGTTAAAAGACAATATAGTCGAAAGTTTAATTGTTTTTATTTGGTTAATTATTTCTAATATTTTTTTTTAGGTTTAATATTATTTATCCACCAAAGTTTATGTACATTGTGTACAATGTAAAATTCACTGCAAAATGAGTTACCAAATTTATTAGGTTCTATGTCGATTATTCGCACAATAATCACACCAAAAAACCCTACGCACTAAATGTTACAAGAAATTATTATTGTACTATTTAAAAAGTTACACAGTATTCAATTTCATAAATATTTTTATTAAAAAGCAACGATGATTAGTATAAATAAATGTTTTTGCCTGTTTAATAAATAGTTGCCCGAATTTATATTCGTGTAAGTATACTTCAAAGACAGTTTATATTTTTACAAGTAATTTCAAGTGTCTGTTGTGATGTTCTTATTATTGAGGTTATGACGGCAGTGATGCTTGTAATATTGCGCCTTTCTCACCGGGGCAAATGTTCTTCACCTTATCCTTTTTTTTTTCTAAGAGAATTTAAGGGATGTCAACACGTGTCACTGTAGTTGTAACCCACAGTATGATTAAACTCTGTTCATGTTACGAGACGTCTTAATTGGGCTGACACTGGCAACATTTCATATCGTCATTTATTTAAAAAGCAAACCTTTTAATAACTAAAATCTTATTTCATAATCTAAACATCACAATAATTAATAAGGACAGATTTTTGAATAGTAGTTATCAAATATATTGTTGCATTTACCACGCTTGTGTGCTGAATCATTGCAAGGATATATATCTTTACAAAGGTTTGTATATAAACGGAAGTTCACACTGATAAAATATTCACAATATGTTCTCTTACTTTTTCCATGTAGAGCGGGTAACATATTTCTATCTAAATATTTTGACAGTGTGAACTTACTGCAATGTAATGTGCAATTTCAGCTCATTCTGACATGTTTCAATTTAAAAATATAGTAATTTTAGCAAATCTACAACCTAGCCTACAGCAACAATGTTTGAATTGTGGATAATGTCAATATTTAATGCTTATTTTGTTTTATTTATGAAGAAATGTTAAAATAAAGGTTAACTCAAACAACTCTTTTATTTTAAACAAGTTAATATAAGGAAAAGTGAGATTTTTATAACCACTGATGATCAAATAATGGATTCAGTTGATGTTAAGTGTGGCTATCCATAAGGATGAGGGGATGCATTTTGCCCGACACTATTTTCCCAATATTTACATAAGCATCTCAAAAAAAGCAAGCAAGCAGCAAAAAAAAAACACTGGCGGAGCCTGTGAACAGCTATATAGGTGAATCTACTACTTACAAATTATACACACCAGCTGCTAATGAAGTACTGTAGAAAATTCAAATGGGGCATGAGGTTGGTTTATTTTTTCCTTTGGCTCATCTGATTTTTTTTGGTTTGTAATAAAAAGTATATGGAATAAAAATATATATTAATTATATATATAACATTACAAATGTATTTTATTAAGTTAGGAATAATATAGTGAAAGCCATAAAGACACAGCATGCCGCCACATAGGGAGATTTTCTTTCACCAATTCTTGCACATTTCCAAAAGGTCCCAAGAAACCTGTAACAAAAATCATCTCCTATTAATAAAGCAATACATTTAAATTTACTTTAGACATCTATGTACAGTTACATTTTATGATGACTCTCTAATCATATTACTCATTTTTTGTACAAATATTTATTGTATTAACATTGCATATCTATATTTTTATTTGGAATAATTTCTATTGGACATATAAACTAAATATTCCTGAACTAATAGAATTTGGCTAGCAGGTTTCATTAGGTTATCTAAAATTTTATCCTACCAATTCAAATTATGAATTTTTATTTATTAAGTACTTACCCTGTTTTATTGCGATCCATAATACTAGGAAAAAAAGATCTAAAGTAAGCACAGGTGCATATCAATAATAAAATCACTGATAATAAGCTTTGAAAGTTAAATATTGCGCTCTGAAACAATAAAGTTTTAAAATTAACCTAAAAATGTTACAACATTGGTTACTACTAAGATGTGTGTTTATGCTTACCATTTTTAAGCTTTAAAATGGAAATGACTTTGAATACAAAGAATTATTTTTCGCTTAGATTATAATTCACTAATGTTTTTATAGTATTTTGATCATAATTGACACATCATAAACAAACATGTCATGTCAGCCAAATATCAGTGTCAGCTGTTCAAAAATGATTTACACAAACATGGATTTCAACAAATTAAAATTATTCAAATTTGTATGATGTTTCTGGCTCGCTTATACCAAAGAGTATATAAAATAAGAGACGGGACTCTTGACTAATTAGCTACACAAACGGAGAATAAAAATTGTCATTTTCAATGCTAGCAATATTATGAACGTAGACTTGACGTTGCTACCAACCTAAAAAAATCAATCTGTCAGTTTCCTTTTTGACGTTTGAAAGTATTATTCGAGGGAAAACAATTTAGGAAGAATAAAACCATTTCGTTAATTGCAACTTTAATTTAATCTTCTGACTAAAGCGAACATATTTTAAGAACGCAACATAATGCTCATTGCTTTCGTAATAATGCCATTATTGTTTAGTTCACCAACAAAATACCCCAACTTTGATAAATGCTTATTTGTTCCAGTTTATTTGATAGGTCATATTTTCTGATAGAACTGGAGTAGTAGTGCCTCTCTCGTCGGGAGAAATAGAACAACACTGGAAAGAAATTAGCTCCTATCTGATGGTAAAATATTTTGACAATATGCATTAAAGCAAAACAAATCATCATCAAGCTCCCTATAAGGACACACTATACTCCACTGAGGAGCTCGGAGCCTACCCTCAAGAATGCAACTATGTCTTATTTAACAACGCAGAGCCAGTGAGGGTTGGTGGTTCTTCTTCTTCTTCTTCTTCTTCTTCTTCTTCTTCTTCTTCTTCTTCTTCTTCTTCTTCTTCTTCTTCTTCTTCTTCTTCTTCTTCTTCTTCTTCTTCTTCTTCTTCTTCTTCTTCTTCTTCTTC